GGTGCGTGTCCCCGGCCCTTGGGGGGGGGGGCCCCCGAGACACGTGTGTGTACACCCCACGCAAGTGTGTACACGTGCGTATGTATGTACACACACCCGTGCTGGGTGGCTGTTGCACCCCCCCCCGTGCGTGTGTGTATGTGTAGGTGTGTAATATATAATTCCTTCCCGCTCACCCTGCAGCGCATGTAGATGTGTGTGTACAACACAGTGTAACATGGGCTCACACCCACGCGCGAGTGTGCCCAGAGCCGGAGCAGCAGGACGTGGCGGTCAGACCGGTCGGGCGGGCGTGCAAGCAGTGGCCGCGGTGCTCGCTCCTCGTGAGCTGCACGAGGCCCCGGGGCGGGGCGGGCGGGCAGGCGTACATGACTCAGGCGGGGGAGCGGCGCGGGTAGCTGCCCTGGCCCCAAAACCGGCGCGGTGCGGTGCGGCGCGGCGTCCCACCCACGGCGCCCAGAGGTGCAGGGGCGTAACCCTGCGCACGCCGGCACTGCCACCGCCGCACAGCGCGGCTGCTGGTGCGACGGCGCGCTCCTCCCCGGGCCGCTGGTCCCCGTCCCCGTCCCCGCCGGAGCGGTCGGCAGCTCCCGCGTCGGGTCCGTCGTGGGCGCGGGTCGCTCTCCGACGGGCGCCGCGGCGCGTCGCTGGACTGGCGGGACCCTGACCTCGACTCTGAAGCGGAGACTTTCCTGGCGGTGGAAAAGGAAGGGTTTTGAAGCCGGACGGAGCGAGCGTTGGAAGGCGTTGCACGCCGCGGCCTCAGTCCATCGAGTAACGAAGGGGCGACGGAGATGACGCAGGCCGGGACGAGACCAGACCCCTCGCGGCGGGGCTGAGTCCGTTTTAACCGTGGCATTAAACGAGACGCTTCCCTCTGTCCGCGGCGCAAGCCGCCTGTGGAGAAGCGAGACGGGGCTTGGCTGCGTTAGGACGACCGAGGAAGCGCGCCTGCCTCAACGGGCCGCGTGCCCCGTGCCCGGACCTCCCCGCGTCGTCGCCCCCACGTCGAGGCACCGCTGACCTCGACACGCAGGACGCGGCTTCACCGTCGCGCTGAGCTGACTTTGCAGGGGAGAGGCACTCGCCGGCGGGCAGAAACACGGGGTCCCTGGGAGAGCGTCTGGGCTCACAGTATTTCCTTTGTTCGGCTCAGATGAAAGCCAGACTCGAACCAAAACGTTTGTACGTACGCGCGCGCGCACGGTACATAGCTACAGATGTGTTTTCCCCGTTAGTCTCCAAGGTGCCACCCTGCCCCGTCTTGTGCCTAGTTCTAAACTGGATCGTATAGCGAGGACTAAGTGGCGTTTCCTGCTCTTTCAAAGCCTCTCCGACTCAACGGCACTTTTGGGATAAAACACTGCCATCCTGAGCTCGGCCGAGCGTGCGGGGATACCCGGCGAGCCAACGCAGGAGGGCAGCGAGAGCCCCCCGCTTCAGAAGGGGGGTCTGAAGGTGGTGTGCCGCCGTCTCCCCCACCTTCCAGCTCAGCTCAGCGCGCCCGTGCCAGGCTGGGAAGAGCTCCCTCCCCTCCCGCAGGAGGCCGGAAATCCAGCCGGTTTCCCACGGCTCGGGGCGCTTCCCCGTCGTGTTTCCGGGCTGTCGGTTTGACGCCGGCACCTCGCTGCGGAGGTTTCGGTTGTTTCAGACGGGTGGTACCTGCCGGGCACTCTTACCAGACTTTGCAACGCACGGTCTCGAACACATGCGAGTCCCAAATCTGCTCTGGACGCACGTGCGGATCCCGGGCTGCTGGCACAGTCACGGGTGGGATCCTGCTCCAGCGGGGCTGCACCGTGTCCTGGCGCCAGGCCTTTCCAGCTCCCCAAAACCGGAGCGTTTAGAAAGAAAAAAAAAAAAGGAGACCTGACAGTTTGTCCATTTGTTTATTGTCATTCAAATACTAAAAATCCCTCACAATACAATATACAGTTATTGATTTTTCAGGTTCGTCTTCCATTGAAATCGACTACCAGGTTTTAGTGGGAACATTTTTTTTTTTTTAATTTTTGTTTTATTATCAAAGATTTAGAGTCACAATAAATACGAGTGACAAAAACATACCCTGCGCTGGCGTAACGTTACTCTGTTACACTTTCTTCTTTGTTAAATGATTATAAATTTTTTTTTTCTTAAAAAAAAAAAAGCACAATGCAAGTTATTTCGCTAAATGCAATATACAGCGTAACTCTGCCTTAAGCAGACAAACACTACTGCGGTTCCTTGAGGTCTTTTTGCATTATATATATATATATTTATATATCTTTAAAAAAAAAAAAAAAAAAAAGGTAATCTCCTGCGTCCGCCCCCTCCTTTCGAAAGGAGAAGGCGACGTGAGCCAAATGGCAGACACGGTTCTTTGGCTAGGTGCGATATCTTCTCTTAGACCAACTAAATCGTTGGAAAAACTGTTCTTCAGATACAAACGCCCTTCTTCAGGCAGAGGGAGAGTCTACCTTTGGGATCCCTCTGCCTGAAGAAGGGCGTTTGTATCCAAAGAACAATTTTTCCAACGATTTAGTTGGTTTAATAAGAGAGATCGCATTTACCCAAAGACCCTCCCCTGCCTGTGTCCGCAGACAGACACGGCTACAACCAGCACCCCCAGCCATGAGCCAAAGGGGGTTTCTGATGAGACCCCAGTCTGAGCCCTCTTTCCTCTACCGGACTCTAAGCTGTGCCCCCCATCTCCCCATTGCCATTTTCTTAGCTGTACTTTGGTAAATCCTTTCTTTCCATAAGCAAAAACGCGGTGACCCAGTTTGATCATTCAGAGGTAAACGAATGGTTCCTAAAACAACGAACAAAATATCTCTAGAAAAACAGAAGCAAAGCTATCCTGAATTACGATGACCCAAAAACCCCCTCCTCCGTATTGCAGCTGGAGTGCCGGTAACAGGAATCCCGGCAGCACAAAAGAACGAGCAAAGCCAAACTTCACGCGAATGGGAAAGCTGCCCAAATCTTCTCCACCATACAAAATTAAAAGGTTCAACCAGGCCACTTTTCATGTCTGAGCAGAACAGTTACCTCTTCTACACCCCCTCTGCCTCCCCGTCCCCCAATAAAATCAAAACAGAGAATAAATTAGGTTATAAAAAATAAAATTAAAAACCACACAGCTCCCAAATTTCAACACTGGTTCAAATGAAAGTCCGGGGTTTATTTCACAAGTTGCTAAAATCTAAGTACAATAGTTAGTCGTTTTCGTTATTACTGTATTATAAAATCTGGTAGTTGCAACGTCTCAAAGAAAGAGGTTATATGGCTTGCAAGACCCAACGCTGCTCTAACCCTCTCCCCAGGAGAGGGGGGGAAACGAGCAGCCTCCGACCCACGTCAGACCAGCTCAAGCGACGTTTGCAGCGAAGCAGCGCAGAGTTGGGGGAACGAGGAGCAGGGCACGGGGCACGTGGCACGAGGGACCACCTACGGGGCATCGATCTGCACGCCCATCCTGTCAAACAGCATGTTCAGTCTCTCGCTCCGAGAGGGAGCTTCAAGCAAAAGCTACAACTTTCCCAGGACAGGGATGAGGACGCTGCCTCTTTCAAAGGGCCCTGGGAGCGAAGCAGCGCAGCGCAGCGCAGCGCACCGCAGCGCGGGGCAACATCTCAGCAGAAACCAGCAGCCTGGAGCGGGCAGGACCACCGAACATGACAGGAGGAAATACAAACCACAGGTTTTGTTCTTCAACTATGCCTACAAGTCCCCTCCTCCAATGTCCCCGAGCAATTTTACCTTTATGTCACAATACCACAGCGTTAAAGTTAGGCTTCGCATTGATTTCTTTTTTTTTGGCAGGGAAGTGAAGGGCAGGTAAGGAAGAGAAAGAAGGAATTTGGGAAGTTTTGCATCAAGGGTCTTCAACTATTATTTTAAACGACGTATGAAACCTGAACTAGCCTGGTAGGGCACTCAAACCGAGTGAACGTGCGGCTGGACTGCAGGCATACGGACCGAGCAACTCGCCTGACCCTATGCAAGCAGGCCGTGTCACCCTGTTTCTGATGCATTTTTTAACTAGAAACGCTTCAGAAACAGCGTGTGCCTCAAATGCAAACGCTAAGTTACCCGGCTCTTTATCCGTGCCACTGAAACTCCAGTTTAAATACTGCTGGAACGAACTGGCGCTTACCAAAACGGTTTGGACGTAGCTTTTAACAGGCAATGTTAATGCTTCTTCCCCCTCCTGCCACCCTTTCTTCTACAGCTCTGGCTGAGACCCCGGCTGCCCCAGCACCGCAGCGGGCACGCCTGTCAGCCTCTGGTGTTGTTCATACCTAGGCTCCCACAAAGCCACTTGAGGAGATACACGGGAATGTTGTCTCGAGGGGTCACATTGAAAGACTCAGAAACACACTTTGGCCCGGGCCGTTGAACAGAAGCAGACATCAGCGTGTGGGGAGGGCGGGTATTTGTCAGAGAACCAAAAAAAACCAACCCACTTAAACTGAAATATTCTTGTATTGTTTCACGGTGCAAGATTCA